GGAACCCCGCTTCAGGTAGTTGAAGGCTATCAGATCCCCCCCTTCACTTCTCTTCTGCAGACTAAATAAGCCCAGTTCCCTCAGCCTCTCCTCGTAAGTCATGTGCCACAGCCCCCTAATCATTGTTGTTGCCCTCTGCTGGACTCTCTCCAATTTGCCCACATCCCTTCTGTAGTGGGGGGGGGGGGGGCAAAACTGGACACAATACTCCAGGTGTGGCCTCACAGTGCCAAATAGAGGGGAATAATCACTTCCCTCAATCTGCTGACAATGCTCCTACTAATACAGCCCAATATGCCATTGGCCTTCTTGGCAACAAGGGCACACTGCTGACTCATATCCAGCTTCTTGTCCACTGTAATCCTCAGGTCCTTTTCTGCAGAACTGCTGCTTAACCAGTTGGTCCCCAGCCTGTAGCGGTGCATGGGATTCCTCCTTCCTAAGTGCAGGACTCTGCACTTGTCCTTGTTGAACCTCATCAGATTTCTTTTGGCCCAATCCTCCAATTTGTCTAGGTCACTCTGGACCCTATCACTACCCTCCAGCATATCTACCTCTCCCCGCAGCTTAGTGTCATCTGCAAACTTGCTGCGGGTGCCATTAATTTAATTTGAGGGTGCAATTTAAAAGGACATTGTGGATGGCTGCTATGTATAGGGTCCCAGGGCAAGGACCTGGAGTAGAGGGTGGGCCTGGGTACCCAGCCACTGGTAAAATGGCCTAGATTTTGAGGCACCCCAGAAGGAGAACTGAACTGTAGTGACCTAGCTTAAGAGCTGGGGCCAGAAAGGCCCCGGGAGGGCGAAGACACTGCCTCCAGCGAAGGAGCCCTGAGGTACTGCTCTGTTGCAGAGCAGGGACAAACTGAGAGACATCACAGAAGGCACTGAGAGAGGCCCCTGAGGGACTTGTATCCTGAAAGGGGTTTGTGTTGCTTTTATCGCACAGACTGTGTATGAGTTTCCCAGAGGGCTGAGTCACCAAAGACCCACTACAAACAGAGAGAGAGTGCAGGCACACACACTTGGCCAGGGGACACTTGTGAGAGATGAGTGCAACCCTGTTACACCTTCCAAGCAGAAGAATATTTTTATGTGCATTCTCTCTCCAGGGTGGAGATTTTTGTGGTAATTAAAAAACAAACCCACCAAAGAAAGCCATCCAAACACCCCAAACTGACATTCAAACTTAGAGACACAGCCAGAATTATTCCCAAACCCTCATAGCACAAAGGCAGCAATTACTTCAGTCCCACAAAAACATTTGTTCTTAGAACTTTTAAACTCTCAGAACAGAGCAGTACCTTGTCTTGTAACCATTATTTTTCCAGTTCTATAGCGCATTTCACCCTGAAAGATCCAAAAGCAATTTATAAACTATGCAACCATTACCTAATTCATGGCTAACAGCTGCTGTGTTCCATGCTGAACGGCACATAGCAACTCCACATGCCAATTTAGGAGAGGAAGTAGAAAACCCTGTGCAACTGAAACTACACTGAGATTTAAGGAGGCAGAAAGTAATTAGCCAAACTGGAAGTGTTGCCAGGGCACCTGAATTAGCTTCCCTGCTGCTCTAGACAATGCCATGGGCTCTTCAATCACAAGTGGTCAGGAGCTCAGCTTTATGCAGTAATGGTGTGATCTCCTATATCACAACCCATTGCTTCCCAAAGTACCTATACTTTCTTTGGATATCTCCCATTCCTGCACTCATTAGCCCCAATGTTTATCTTGTAATATCTGAAAGAATCACTGTCTGAAGAGGCAGGACTTAAGAATTTTAAAGGACTTGTTTTACTTCTCTATAACCCGCCTGGGTTTTATGTAGACTAGATTATAATAAATCCATTCATTGTATTTTCAGTTGCTGGGTGAAAAGTGTAGTTTAAATTAATACAAAATTGCAGAAATCCACATAGTGGGCTCTATGTAAAACACCTATAAAGTTCCATAAAAGCCAGAAAATCCACCAATTGTTCTGTGTTTATAAAATAAAGCCCATGAGCATTTCCATGGCATATACTCACACTCACAGTCACAAAAGAACTAACTTCATTTGGTCAAACATTCAAGGCACAAAAACAAGTAGTGTAGGTCCAAATTTTATGTACCAGTGGAAAATGTGTATTTTCAGAGTTTTAAAAATCAGTGTAAATGAGGTGGTTTGAAGATCAATACAGGTTTTAAACCTTTCTCTGCAGTGTCTGAATCACAAATATAACTGATGTGCAGCAAACTGGGCTTAATATCAGAAATAAGCAAAACTGTCCTGTCCAGTTTCACTGCCGACACTGAGGGAAGTGAAGGCGAAGACAGATAGCATCAATACTGGCAAGTCATTTAGAGTTTAAAGCCCTTTCAGTTTTAACAATCTTGCTGGTGTCAGTAAACATTTTGTTTTCAAATATAGGATCATCTTGGCAGTATCCTTTTAAGAAAATCCAGATTTTTCTAATCTATCTCTCTTACATTAAGAGGGATTTTTCATGTACTGAACAGGAACATACACAGTATACAGCAACTGGAGATCTACTGTAATGCTCCATCTGGGGAGCAGGAAGGAGTTCCACAAAGGACAGAGCCCTACTTTCCAAAGCCAGGTTTAGTGAACAGGGATGTAAGTACCAGAATCCGCCCCCCTCTCCCCCCAAAAACCAGCTTTGTTTTTTTCTCCATTATGCTAAAGACTTATTTATAACAGACCTGGGAGGGAGTGGAGTTCTTTCCCGATCCCTCACTCTGTGACCACTGGGTGTTCTACCAAAAGACCTTCACTTGCTCCCTTGGCTATCTACATTAATTTAAATTCCCAACTTAAAAAGCAATAGCGCATATGCTTTATGTTCAACTGGACATTGTTTGGTCCACAGGCAACTAGTGAATCAAAGGGAATTCACAACATTCTCTCTGCAGCATTGCTTTCTTGTTATGATGGGAATTTTGTACATCAGATTATCAGAAAAGACTAAACAGTTTGGACTATAACTTACACATCCAGAAGCCTGGCCCTCCTGTAATGAGGAATGTGCCCATGACGGAGAAGGAAAACAAGAGGAACTCACAAGTTTAAGCCATGCCTACTGTGACTCTTTATGGGGAAGCACCCAAGACCCAGACAAAAGTTCCATGATAATAGAACAAATACATTAGTATATGCTCATGGGAGGATTCTGCGCTACTGTGCATGCAGAGAATGTATATCCCCTGAAGATTTCTTTGCTTCCCTGCAGAAAAATGACTTCCTCATGGGGAAGCAAAGGGAAGCCACAAGAGCGGTCATGTGCTCTTCCCCAGCAGTATGTTTTGGGTGCCCAGGGCAGGTGGCAGAGAGGTAGGGGCCTCTGGGGCAGGGGGCTGGGGAAGACCCAGCTGGTGGCTCCTACCCTGTGGGCTCAGCTGCTAGTCCTGGCTGGGCTGGGGAGGACGGGACTTCCTCTCTCCCGGCATGGCATCCAGAGCCGGGTCAGACCCACCCCTAGGTTTCTTCTCCCAGCTGCAGGAAACTCTGCAAACTGCCTCTTCTCTCTCTCCTCCCCCGCCCTGCTTCCTGCACCCATTGCTCTACAACTGTACAGGGAGCTGCTCCCCTATGCATGCAGACCCCCTCATACCCAGACCCTCCTGCCGAGCCTTACCTCCCCCGCACTCAGAACCCCCTGATGAGCCCCACTTCACCTGGACCACCCCAACAAGCCACCCACACACAGATCCCACCCCACCAAGCCCCAACCAGCTGCATGCGGAGTCCTACTCCCCCAGCATCTGGACCCCCCACTAAGCCCCAACATCCAGACCCCCTGCCAAGCTCTATCCCACCCAACCCCCCCCCCTTGCTTAGCCCCAACCACCTTCACCTGGAGCCCCCTGCAGAGTCCCATTACTATTGCACCAAGAACCCCTCAACAAGCCCCTGTGCATCCAGATCCCCCACTGAGCTGCCCACACAGATTGCTCCGCACAGAACCCTCTCAACCCACATCTGGATACCCCACACTAAGCACCTCCACACTTGGATCCTGCCTTGCTCAGTCTGTCTGCCCACAGCTGGTGCACCTGGCAAAGAGGGGAAGAACCCTGGGGTGTTTCTGGGGCAGGCACAGTCCTTGCCCTGTGTCAGGGTTGTGTGCAGCCTCACTGCTGAGTCCGTGTACTGGGGGAAAGAGGGGTGGGACCTGCACAGTGATCTCCCACTTCTGTGCAGCCAGTGGCCTGTGCTCCCCAGTGTCATACTGGAACCTCCACATTTATTTGACAAATAAAATTTGCAGAATTTTAAAATATTGTGTGCAGAATTTTTAATTTTTTTGGCACAGAATGTCCTCAGGAGTAATTATTTTGTTTCTAAACTAACTCCAGCTGCTCAGCTGAAAGGGATGCTGACACAAGAGCCAAATTTTAAGACTGACTGTATCAAAGTCAAGGAGCAAGAGACAACGGGATTTTTTTTTCCCCCAAAAAAGAGGGGGAAATGGGGTTTCACAAAAACTAAGGGTTTTTTTTTTTGTGTGAGAACTTGTCATTTGATTTTTTTTTAAATTGTTTTGAATTGAGATTTTCACTTGTTTTTGAAAACCAAAATCATTTTGAAACTTGGGATTTATTTTCTCCCCTTTTTATCACTGAATGCAAGAGAGTAAATTATATCAAGAGATCCTCCCCATCCCTTTTTCAACTATTACTTTTCAAAGCTTCTCCAACTTTCAAAAATTGAGAGTGGAGAAAGAAAAGGGGGTGGGGGGGAATTGGAATACACCCCCCCCCCCCAGTATCATTCACTGTTACATTACGTGGTAACAAGTCAACTACTGAGAAGCTCTCTTAGCGTGGAAGATAGCAAAAAACTATGCTGTGAGTCCATGGCCTCCCACCACCAGACAGACAGTATTAAAGATCCAGGTAGAAATTAACTGGTGGTGGGGAGGAGATAATCAAGACGATGGAGTTAAATCAATAATTAATTCTATTGTTGTGGGGAGAGGATGGAGGAAGGCAACTTACCTAAGTGGGCCATAGTTCAACATTACAAAGGCCAATATCACCATCACACACACAGCTCTTCTCTTTGGAGAAGGGATTTTAAGATTCTGGTTCTAAACAGGGAGACAGAGCGCACATACAGTGTAAGTGAGGGTTTAAAAACACAAATGCATTTCAGACATTCTAACTCCTGTTGTTGCCTTTTATATTAAGGATGACTTGCAAAGCGTAAAACTTCAGAGGTAAAAATGAGCTTCCCCTTTTTCATAAAGATGTATGAGTGCAGTCAGACCTATTTAAAAATATATCTAGTCCTTTTTTACATTCCATTCAAGTCCCATCTACCAAATTTTCTATGGACAACTGAAGAACCAATAGATTTACAACAAGGAATTAAAACTAAGGCTATCTGCCTCCTATCACCATAGTATCAACACCTCACAGTCTGTAATATATTAATCCTTTCCCCCTCCCCACCCCCTTGAAACAGGGCAGTCCTATTATGCCCATTGTACAGATGGAAAGATGAGGTCCAGAGTGACTTCCCCAAAGCCATCAGGGAGTCTGTGGTAGAGACGGGAATGAACCCATTTCTCCTAAGGTATGTCTACATTGGCAGTTGAATGACAAACCTTTTGTCTTTCAGAGGTGTTAACCTCCCCCACCCACTGCCAAAAAAAACCCCCACAATTTTTCCATGATGAGCACCAGAATGAACAGCATGAATGCCACTTGTTGGGGGTGGAAGTTTTATGTCAGCAGGAGAGCCAACAAACAGCGGCTACGCTGCATGACTTCTAGCGGCATGGCTGTAGCGAAACAGCCATGTCACTAAAAGCTGTGTAGTGTAGACAAAATTGAGGAAAGGGAGACCTTTCCAGGCCTTCTTCACACATTTAGATACTACAAAGGCCAGTCTAACACTTGCTTTTTCAGCCCCTCTTTCAGTCACCTTTAATGGGTTTGATCTGAAATAAAGACACCTTGCTGGAGCATGAGGTGTTTAAGGAAGTCTCCAGAATAATCTCTTTTCCGCAGACAGTTGCTAAAGGAAACTGAAGTGAATTATAATGGGAATTATGTAGCAGGGTTAACATTTGGAAGCTATCGCACAGAAATCTGCAATCCTGAAATTGTCCTGCAGATCGTTTCTCCCTTCTTCCATGCCAGCGAAAGCAGAGGCTCCTACCAGTGCTGCTCCTGCACACAGCATGTCCAAGCAGGAGAATAAAGGGAAACTGACTAGGACTGTCACTTGGTTACCTTCTGCTGCAGTTATTGCTTGAGAAGCAGAAACACCCTCCCAATCATGTGGGGAAAGAAGAACAAAGAGCAGCATAGGGATGGAGTGACAATTTTTAAATCAAGATTGGGTGTTTTTCTAAAAAGATATGCTCTAGGACTAAGTCCTATGGCCTAAGTCCTATAGGATAGACCAGATGATCACAGTGGCCCCTTCTAGCATCACTCTAGGCTTCTATGCCAACAATTCTGAATGAGGGCATGGAGGGAGCATAACTGCATGTGAGAAGCACATCACTTAATTTAGTGTGGAGTTTCGTTCAAATACCAATTTAATTAACAATGGTAATTAGCTGTGTAAGTAAACAAACGTAATTCAGAAATGATGCATCTAGCAGTGCATCTAGACAGCATGCTGACATGGGGACTCTGGCTCCAGACCAGCGGGTGAGGGAAAAGGAAGGGGGAAAATGATGAACATGTGCATTATTTTAAACTAATAGCAGACAGAGGTCCGTAACAGCCATCCCTATTGCCCCCAGTTGTTGGCACATGCCATTATGATGCCTGTACCAACACAAGTTTATTACCATGCTGTTCTAAACAAATCACTGCATGGATTTCGTCCTTCCACAAACACTTCTTACCTCTAACACCAATTCATCCAGCTGCCTCTTCAGTGAACCATTCTCTCTCTTGAGCTGCTCATTCTCCAGCAAGGCAGCCTTCAGCCTGGCCTCCAGCCCCAACATGTATTCCTTCTTCTTCCTGCGTGACTGGCAGGCTGACTCCCGGTTTTTGATCATGCGCTGCTGTCTTCTCAGGAGGTTACTCTAGATGGGGACCAAGCAGTCCGGTTAAAATGGGGAACCCTAACCTACATGCACATTGGTCATCTCATACACAATTTCTGCTCTGCCACTTTTTCAGCCAACTGAGCACTTCTATTCAAAAGTTCCTAATGTGTTCATCATTGCAGCATCTAGTCTCTTATCAGGTTACACCCCCAAGAATTAGCTCACAAAGGGAATGAAAGAATTATGTCCCAATTTCTTCTCTTCTCTGACCTGTACTTTCATATTTCCTTGGCACAAACTGGTTCCCACCATATACAGGAGTGCAGAACAACTGCTGTGCTTGTGCAGCAAATTATTTTTAGGGACCAATTTATGAGGAAAGGTAAAGAACTTAACATGCACAGCTTGTAAAAATCTTGACTAAGAGGGGACACAGTCAAAAACTATAGTGATTATATGCCTTACAGCATACTTAACCAACAGGTATGAGCATCAAACAGACAGGATTGCGCACGGTGGTATTGGGAGGATGAAGAGCAACAGAATGAAATTAAAGAAAATGTAGCCTCAATGTCAGGAAATTTTTAAATAGTGACTTTAACTCAAATTATGAGATTTCTACCAGTCCCCTTGGGATACTATTTCAGGGGCTATTTAAAACTGGACTGAACAAGGCACTGGTAAATAAACTCTTGCGTTTGCAGGCAACAACCCTGCACTGCATTGCAGGGGAAGTTTCTTTCTATTGCCTTCAATTTTCATTTATAACCTAAAGCCTAAGAATTTATCCTTCCAAACTCTGGGCCTGATTCTCATTTACACTAAGTCCCATTTACTGAACCAAATGAGTTGCCAACGGAGGGACTGAACAGGCAGGAAGAGAAGCAGGAAAAGCCAACAGAGGACAGGATTTTAAAAAGTACAGAGTGGTTGACCATGTCAAAGGTCAAGGAGGATGAGAAAGGAGGCCTTGCTGCTCTTTAATTTAGCAGTTTGTTCCAGCACCTTCTCTCTCAACATCCCAACCTGACACTAGACACTGCTTCAACTGGAATAAAACCAAGCACAGAAACATTTCCATTGATCAATTTAATAAAAATATAAATTTGACACCTAAGCTGACCTGAAAGCACCCTGTTAAAGACAAGAACGGTCATGGTCCACACTAGCATTATCTGGAGTTAGTTTGCCTTAACAAATCTTCCATTGAGTTTCTTTTCTGCATAGGCTAGGAATGGGAACTGTGTTCTTGCTTTATCATGGAGACGCATAGTTAAAGATAAGGAACAACTTCCAATAAACCACAACAGGGTCTGTATTGTTGTTACATTTGTATCGGCCTGGAGTGCAGTGGAGACACACAAGACTGAAAGCTAATTGTTTTCATCCACCTGAAGAGTACTCCAATAGCCTAATAATGGACACACTAGTGGCTTACAACTGTTAGAGTATTAAAAAGGCACATAATTTATTAAAAAGGAACAGAATTTGAATAATTTTGGGAGTAGGGGTTTGTGAAAATCAGTAGAATGATAAAAGAATAGCAGAGTCCGTAAACTCTGCAAGCCAGAAAGCTTTGGTTGAGGCAAATACAAGAGACAAAGTTAAGGTTATTTGTGGCCACTTTAAGTTTCCTTCTTGCAGATAACTGTCTCATAACTACAGTATTTTGCTGTGCAGCATTTGCAGCTAATTTTCCTTGCAGACACTGACAGTCATTCTATCAATGTGGCTCTAGGAAGAAGGATAAAGGAGCTGGAGGCGCAAGTGGTGTTCTCGTCCATCCTCCCCGTGGAAGGAAAAGGCCTAGGTAGGGACCGTCGAATCGTGGAAGTCAACGAATGGCTACGCAGGTAGTGTCGGAGAGAAGGCTTTGGATTCTTTGACCATGGGATGGTGTTCCATGAAGGAGGAGTGCTGGGCAGAGATGGGCTCCATCTTACGAAGAGAGGGAAGAGCATCTTTGCCAGCAGGCTGGCTAACCTAGTGAGGAGGGCTTTAAACTAGGTTCACCGGGGGAAGGAGACCAAAGCCCTGAGGTAAGTGGGAAAGCGGGATACCGGGAGGAAGCACAGGCAGGAATGTCTGTGAGGGGAGGGCTCCTGCCTCATACTGGGAATGAGGGGCGATCAACAGGTTATCTCAAGTGCTTATATACAAATGCACAAAGCCTTGGAAACAAGCAGGGGGAACTGGAGGTCCTGGTGATGTCAAGGAACTATGACGTGATCGGAATAACAGAGACTTGGTGGGATAACTCACATGACTGGAGTACTGTCATGAATGGTTATAAACTGTTCAGGAAGGACAGGCAGGGCAGAAAAGGTGGGGGCGTAGCACTGTATGTAAGGGAGCAGTATGACTGCTCAGAGCTCCGGTATGAAACTGCAGAAAAACCTGAGTGTCTCTGGATTAAGTTTAGAAGTGTGTGCAACAAGAGTGATGTAGTGGTGGGAGTCTGCTATAGACCACCGGACCAGGGGGATGAGGTAGATGAGGCTTTCTTCCGGCAGCTCACGGAAGCTACTAGATCGCATGCCCTGATTCTCATGGGTGACTTTAATTTTCCTGATATCTGCTGGGAGAGCAATACAGCGGTGCATAGACAATCCAGGAAGTTTTTGGAAAGCATAGGGGACAATTTCCTGGCGCAAGTGCTAGAGGAGCCAACTAGGGGGGGCGCTTTTCTTGACCTGCTGCTCACAAACCGGGTAGAATTAGTGGGGGAAGCAAAAGTGGATGGGAATCTGGGAGGCAGTGACCATGAGTTGGTTGAGTTCAGGATCCTGACGCAGGGAAGAAAGGTAAGCAGCAGGATACGAACCCTGGACTTCAGGAAAGCAGACTTCGACTCCCTCAGGGAACGGATGGCCAGGATCCCCTGGGGGACTAACTTGAAGGGGAAAGGAGTCCAGGAGAGCTGGCTGTATTTCAAGGAATCCCTGTTGAGCTTACAGGGACAAACCATCCCGATGAGTCGAAAGAATAGTAAATATGGCAGACGACCAGCTTGGCTTAATGGTGAAATCCTAGCGGATCTTAAACATAAAAAAAGAGGCTTACAAGAAGTGGAAGGTTGGACATATGACCAGGGAAGAGTATAAAAATATTGCTCGGGCATGTAGGAATGATATCAGGAGGGCCAAATCGCACCTAGAGCTGCAGCTAGCCAGAGATGTCAAGAGTAACAAGAAGGGTTTCTTCAGGTATGTTGGCAACAAGAAGAAAGCCAAGGAAAGTGTGGGCCCCTTACTGAATGAGGGAGGCAACCTAGTGACAGAGGATGTGGAAAAAGCTAATGTACTCAATGCTTTTTTTGCCTCTGTTTTCACTTACAAGGTCAGCTCCCAGACTGCTGCGCTGGGCATCACAAAATGGGGAAGAGATGGCCAGCCCTCTGTGGAGATAGAGGTGGTTAGGGACTATTTAGGAAAGCTGGACGTGCACAAGTCCATGGGGCCGGACGAGTTGCATCCGAGAGTGCTGAAGGAATTGGCAGCTGTGATTGCAGAGCCATTGGCCATTATCTTTGAAAACTCGTGGCGAACGGGGGAAGTCCCGGATGACTGGAAAAAGGCTAATGTAGTGCCAATCTTTAAAAAAGGGAAGGAGGAGGATCCTGGGAACTACAGGCCAGTCAGCCTCACCTCAGTCCCTGGAAAAATCATGGAGCAGGTCCTCAAAGAATCAATCCTGAAGCACTTGCATGAGAGGAAAGTGATCAGGAACAGCCAGCATGGATTCACCAAGGGAAGGTCATGCCTGACTAATCTACTCGCCTTTTATGATGAGATTACTGGTTCTGTGGATGAAGGGAAAGCAGTGGATGTATTGTTTCTTGACTTTTGACACGGTCTCCCACAGTATTCTTGTCAGCAAGTTAAGGAAGTATGGGCTGGAAGAATGCACTATAAGGTGGGTAGAAAGCTGGCTAGATTGTCAGGCTCAACGGGTAGTGATCAATGGCTCCATGTCTAGTTGGCAGCCGGTATCAAGCGGAGTGCCCCAAGGGTCGGTCCTGGGGCCGGTTTTGTTCAATATCTTCATAAATGATCTGGAGGATGGTGTGGATTGCACTCTCAGCAAATTTGCAGATGATACTAAACTGGGAGGAGTGGTAGATACGCTGGAGGGAAGGGATAGGATACAGAAGGACCTAGACAAATTGGAGGATTGGGCCAAAAGAAATCTGATGAGGTTCAATAAGGATAAGTGCAGGGTCCTGCACTTAGGACGGAAGAACCCAATGCACAGCTACAGACTAGGGACCGAATGGCTAGGCAGCAGTTCTGCAGAAAAGGACCTAGGGGTGACAGTGGACGAGAAGCTGGATATGAGTCAGCAGTGTGCCCTTGTTGCCAAGAAGGCCAATGGCATTTTGGGATGTATAAGTAGGGGCATAGCGAGCAGATCGAGGGACGTGATCGTTCCCCTCTATTCGACATTGGTGAGGCCTCATCTGGAGTACTGTGTCCAGTTTTGGGCCCCACACTACAAGAAGGATGTGGATAAATTGGAGAGAGTCCAGCGAAGGGCAACAAAAATGATTAGGGGTCTAGAACACATGACTTATGAGGAGAGGCTGAGGGAACTGGGATTGTTTGGCCTGCAGAAGAGAAGAATGAGGGGGGATTTGATAGCTGCTTTCAACTACCTGAAAGGGGGTTCCAAAGAGGATGGCTCTAGACTGTTCTCAATGGTAGCAGATGACAGAACGAGGAGTAATGGTCTCAAGTTGCAGTGGGGGAGGTTTAGATTGGATATTAGGAAAAACTTTTTCACTAAGAGGGTGGTGAAACACTGGAATGCGTTACCTAGGGAGGTGGTAGAATCTCCTTCCTTAGAGGTTTTTAAGGTCAGGCTTGACAAAGCCCTGGCTGGGATGATTTAACTGGGAATTGGTCCTGCTTCGAGCAGGGGGTTGGACTAGATGACCTTCTGGGGTCCCTTCCAACGCTTATATTCTATGATTCTACCATTCTATCATTCTGAAGAAGCCACGTGGCTCACATTTCACTATTCTTCTTCATGATATT